CCTTTCACTTAAAGCAGGACTGTTGCCAGTGCTGTCAGCCATGACTTTGTCAAGTCAAATCTGTAAAACCTCCAAGGACGGAGAACCTACCATTTCTCCAGTGATCTGTTCCAGTGTTGCACTAGTCTCTGGTGAAGATGTCTTTCCTCATGTCCAATCCGACCTCCCCCAGCTGCAGTTGCAGCCATTGCCCCGTGTTCCACCCCTACGTCGTGGTTGAACCCAGAGAGCAACCGAGCACCACGCAGGTGTTCATTCACCCCTTTCCCTCTCAGGAACGGGAAGGATAAAATTAAGTAAATGGCTCAGGAATCCAGGTATGGGCAGGGAGGGGTGGCTCACCCATTACAGTCACGGGCAAAAGACAGACTTGTTAGGGGGAGAAAGAAAGAACACTTTAATTCAAATGCTGACAAAGACAACACTTGACAAGTTGGGACAGTGAGAAGTGCCAACGCATCCAAAAACACCTCCCCACACCTCTTCCTTCTTCCCGGGCTCAACTCTGCTCCCGATGTCTCTAATTCCTCCCCCAGTGGTGCAGGGGGCAGGGAATGGGGGTTACAGTCGGCTCACTGCTCCTTCCTTCTCAGGAGGTGAGGGGAACACTGCACATTTTTCCCTTGTTCCACATGGTTCCCTCTCACTGCAGACAGCCCTCCATGAACCTTCTCCGGTGTGAGTTCTTCCCACAGGATGCAGCTGTTCCCATGATGATCTGGCATGGGTCACCCCTGCCTGTTACAGTCCTCCAAGTGCCAAACTACAACAGTGGGTGCTGCTTCTCCCCTCAGAGTCCCAGCTTCCTTTATGTGCAGACTCTTTTCCTGGTGTGGGCTTCTCCACAGGCTTCGGGTCAGCCTCTCCTCCACTGTGGACCTCCACAGGTGGCAGGGAGGGTGGCCCTGCCATCTCACCACAGGTTACAGGGGTCTCTGCTCCAGCACACCTTCCCCTCTTCCTCCTCCTTCCTTCCACTGACTGAGGTGTTCGTCCGTCTCATAACCCCTCCTCACAAGTCCCAGCCCCCACTCAGGTTCCCCTTCTTAAATATGTTCTCAGAGAGGTGCAACCACCATCACTGATGGGCTCAGCCCTGGCAGAGGTGGGTCCGACTTGGAGCTGGGGGAGCTTTTGAGACACTTCTCACAGGGAACCACCGCTGTAGCCCCCTCCCTCACTACCAAAAACCGTGCCACAGAAACCCAGCACACGCTACCAAGAAAGCTCATGTTCCAATGTCCTTCTAAGTGCCTTTCAAGTATTTGTAGGCAGCTATTTAATCAACCTGACCTCCTCTTGGTCAGACCAAACAAGCCCAGCTCCCTCTGTCACTCCCTGTGGATCATGTGCTCCGTACTGTGACCAGTTTGGTAGTCCTCCATTGGACGCTCTCCAGTTTCTCCACGTTCGTCTTGAACTGGCGGTCAACAGACAAGACACATTCCAAGTGCAACCTCAGAAACACCATGGAGAATGAGGACTGTAACTTACCTTGATCTGCTAGCCATACTCCTCCAGTATTCATTCATAGCTGCTTGCAAAGTTCATCCAAAGAGAACCTACTCCCAAGAAAATTAGTATGTATCAATCAGCTATATCAGCATGCTCTAGACAGAAGATTAAAATCTCTGCCAAAGATATTTGTTCAACTGATTTTCATGGAAATTAATATATTTGCTTCAAATCCCTTCAGTGTTGTAAAAACTTGAGAGGCCATGTTTGAAGAGGTAAAAATTAAAATAGCCTAGTATACATTGCACTGTAAAATCCTAGGGGACGTAAAGCTGTTGCACTGCTCACAAGGTAAACTAGCAAGCACAGAGACATGTTCACCTCACCTACACACATCATGATAACATGAGAAGCTGTCTATTCACTGGGGTTCTCTGGTAAAGTAAGTGCTAGGTTTCCTTCTATAGACGTTACCACCATTTTGACAGAGCAGGCAAAGTGTCCAGAATTATTTCATAGGGCCTGGTAACTTTTTAGGAGTCAGGGACAACATCTTCTTTTGATAGTTGAATGGACTCTGGCACAGTCAAAATGACTCATCCAAAGTAAACCAGACAATCTGAGATGAAAACTCAAAGCTTTTAGCTCCTAGTACACTGCTTAAAATAATGTGGCACTGCTTAAAATAATGTGGTTTCCTCGCAGTTTCCACAGGTCTGACTGTTGCAGGCATGGTTATTGAAAAGGAGACCTACCCTTGCTGGGAACATTCCCACCTTAAGCCTCTCAGCTCAGTGAACTCTACATGAGGCTCAGCAGACATCCACTTAGCTGAGTATGCTAAAGTCTGTATTTTTGTCTTTATCTGCCCTGATACATTCATGGTATTACATCCTCTATGAATGTCAAACCCCACATACCAGGGATATGCAGTTGAAGGCATTCTGTAAATGGCACTGTGAGAAATCTGCAACTGGATTCCTCAAAACTGCATTAAGCTGCTTCTTCCAATCAGGTGATACAAGGAGAATTTCAGTTATTTGGAAAGAAAATTGCTGGGGGAACACAGCAACTTCATTTTTGTAAACAAGATCTTGTTTCTGTTTTCTCTGTGATTTCATGGTTGTTTGTAGTGCTTATTTACATGTGGCACAGCAGCATCAATCCCAATAACAATCATTTCTAATCCTCTTTGTGAACTCCTGATCTAGCATCTTCAGATGAAACCTTCAGTGCTTGGGTCAATTAGTTTCTCTCCAGCCCTTCCCTGCCATGCACCATGCTGCCTGGATCTTTACTTTCATTATCTCTTAATTTCTGTCTCTCCTCTGCACTTGCCTCCTGTCCCCAGACCTGTCCTTCTTACCCACCCACCTCCTACCCAAAGTGCTTTCCCTGTCCTTACCTTTAGCAGATCTCTCACAGAATCACAGAATGGTTGAGTTTGGCAGGGACCTCTGGGAATCATCTGATCCAACCCCCCTGCTCAAGCAGGGCCACCTACAACTGGTTGCTCAGGACCATGTCCAGGTGGCTTTTGAATAGCTCCAAGGATGGAGACCCCCGCAATCTCTCTGGGAAACCTGAGCTAGTGCTCAGTCACCCTCTGTCATGGTTTTGGCTGGGATAGAGTTAATTTTCTTCCTAGTAGCTGGTATAGTGTTGTGGTTTGGATTTAGTGTGAGAATAATATTGATAACACACAGATGTTTTCAGCTGTTGCTAAGTAGTCCTTATAGTAAGTCAAGGATTTTTCAGCTTCTCATGCCCCGTCAGCAAGAAGGCTGGAGGGGCACAGTTTGGGAGGGGACACAGCCAGGACAGCTGACCAGGACCGGCCAAAGGAATATTCTAGTAAAAAAGTGTTTCCTGATGTTCAGAGAGAACCACCTGTGTTTCAATTTGTGCCAATTGCTTCTGATCTTGCCACTGAGCAGCACTGAACAGAGCCTGGCTCTGTCCTCTTCATACCTTCTATTCAGGTGCATTATGTATATTAATATCTATTAAATATACATTAAGAAGATCTCCCCTCAGCCTTCTCTTCTCTAGAATAAACTGTCCTGGCTGTCTCAGCCTCTCCTCAGAGGAGAGATGCTCCAGTCCTTTCATCGCCTTTGTGGCCCTTCACTGGACTCTCCAGTATGCCCAGGTCTCTTTTGTTCTGAGGAACCCAGAACCGGACATAGTGTTCCAAGTGTGGCCTCCCCAGTGCTGAGTAGAGGGGAAAGATCACCTCGCTCGTCCTGCTGGCACTACTCTGTCTAATGCAGCCCAGGATACCACTCCCCTCCGTTGCAGCAAGGGCACATCGCTGGCTCATGTTCAAATTGGTGCTCACCAGGACACCCAGGTCCTTTTCTGCAAAGCTGGGGTGTACTGATGCATGAGGCTGTTCCTCCTCAGCTGCAGCACTTTGACCTTCTCCTTGTTGAACTTCATGAGGTTCCTGTCAGCCCATTTCTCCAACCTGTCTCTCTCCCAGAACAAACACACATCTCAGGGTGTCTGTCACTACCCTACTGCTTGCCAAGGCTTGTGACTTGCTGTTTGGGAAATCCCCACGGAAACACTCGTGTGCTCCATGTCATGTAGGTATAGTGAGGTGGATGTTCAGAGTAGGCCACAGCTGCTGTGTGCTTCAGAGACAGAGACAGTTTTCCAGGTCTGTGGAAATGCAACCTACTCTCCCACCCTTAATATTCACTGTGTTTTTATGCTGGTCACACTCTTAGCCTGTCTCCGATTTGAACTGAAATCTTCTTGTAGTAAGGATTTGTCCACTGCTTCCTCTCTCTGCAGTGTGAAACTGCAGAGGTGGAGAGGGAAACACGGTCTTGGTTGATTCAATAAGACACAGTTAACTGTGTTCCTTTGACTCCAGATGTCCACCCTCTTGACTAGTTTGGTTGAAGTTGGCCTATAAAACATGGCATGCAACTGGTTCCTTCCACCAGAGAGAAGTAATGACATGGGTACACACTTTTGGTCCAGTGCAGTACTGGAGGTTTGTTTTCACTGCTGGATTTATACAAGTTGTAGTCTCATTTCACCCTCTTCTCTCCCACTCATAGCACTGGGATGCAAAAGAAGAGACTGCCACTGAGAGAAGTCTGTTCAGCAGGCTTCATTTTCCTGATCCTGCTGGCACCAGACAATGGAGATGCAGGGAATGAAAATGATATCTGATGCTCAGGAATGAAGGAAAATGGCCAGCTCACCCTCAGAGATCTGAAGTCCCAGCATCTGTTGTGACAAACCTTTTTTTTGCCCCTATGGAACAAATGAGGCAAAGACTAGGCCAGGGAATGTATCCCAGGTCTCATCTGGTCACAAACAGACATAATCCAACACATGTGGATTAAGAATGGGTCAACTACAGAGGATAACACCCTTACGGGCAACAAGTCTACTCCTGCAAAACACTTTCCTGAGGGGGGTGTGGAAAGGGCAGATCCTTGGTCTTGTGTAGAGCTTTGGTTTGCAGGACAGTGACTACTTGTACCACTGATGAGATGGTTATGAGATGAAAATGCACATGGGATTTATCTACAAGATTTCTCACAGATCCATGGAGCATGAAATGCACAGCTGGAAGCCTGAAAGTGATCTTTCATTGGGACAACACAATGTTGCACAGGGCTGTTAGAGAGGACCCTCCAAGAAACATGGAACAAAAGTGAGAGAAATAAAATGCTGAGATTGTCTCCTGGAGACAAGAAAGAAAAAGCATCTGATTTTGAAGGGTGGAGCCCAGAGGAAGCGAAAGAACTCAACCTCTTCATGAGAATGGCAGTGCTGAGAGTTTTGTGGAAAGATGATTCCCTCCAAGGAGTCTGTAAGAACAGAAGGCTGGATTTAAGAAGGAAACTAAGTCAAGTGCTTAGAGTACTGACCTACTGACAGCAGGATCTTGGGTGAGTTTCCTTGCTGGAGAAGTGTTACAGACTAAATCCTTGTCTTAACTGCCATAAAAAAGAAAGGGCCAGCCAAAGTCACTGGACCGAATCATAATGTTTTCCCTTGTGCAGAATGCTGAGTTTTGTCCAAGTAAAGACTGAGCCAAAATTAAGGTTCTGACTTGGGTTGGCACTAGTGAAGCAGCAAAGGGCTGAATTGTCACACCCTGTGACGCCAGCACTTGGCAGAATGAATGAAAGGTGGAACTTATGCTTTTCTGATTAAGAAATGGTGTGGACTGTGCAGGTATATAAGCCTTGGTCTGAGCAGATGGAGGGAAGTAGAGAGTGAGATACTTAGATACTTAGACCTGCTTTTCACAGGTACGTGCCTTTACAAGATGCAGAGAAGTAAAAAGTAGACCCTTCTGAGTTCAGTGCCATGCAGGTCACAGTAAGAAGAAAATCTGCCCAGGAAGAGAGCTCCTGAGACCTAGTGCAGGAACTCTGGGTGTTGCAGAACACCAGCAATCTGAATGAGCACTGTTGTTTTTAAAACAGAATGAAACTCATTTCTTGCCACTGAATATAGAGCCATCTTCCCAATTCCATCCAGAGCCTGTTTTGTTCCTCAGTCCAGTCCAGAAACATCCTGTTTGAATACTCTTGAACAGGTCCTAGAACTGCTGATGAATTACAAAGTGACTAAGAAAAGCCAGCCTGAAAATAGAGGTAAGGATAAATAAAGAGAACAGAGAGCAAGATAATCCCCTGGCCTGACTGTTCCTTATGTGACTGACAATACTGCATGTCAGCACCTTCTAATCAGGAAGATCAACCCTGCAGATCATGCTTGGAATAACAACTGTGTACACTCACAAGGAAGTAAACAGCCTTTCAAGGGTCCTGGGCAGATTCTTCAAAGGACATTTCTTAGGGCAATATATGTGAATCAACTGCATCCCAGTCTCCTGGAGTTTCCTACACAGAGTTTTATGTACAAACATATGCTATTAGTGTATTAGCACTCTACCATACAGCTAGCTAGGAAGCTAATACAAAGTATTAACAGTTAAAGGGAAAATCAGTTCAGGGCAGGATGCAAAGGCACTGACAGATCTGTGTAAAGAGCCCACGGCCAAAGCTCATTACATTTTATACAAACTTTTCTCCTATGTGTTTTCAATGTCTATTTCCTTTTGCATAACCTTTAACTCCTGTTTACTGTTAAAAGGTGAAGCCTGCAACAGAAACTCAGCTCTGAAGTAAATTTCTCCCTGCCCACGCCCCCCCCCAAAAAATAAAAAAAAGAGACAAAGACAAGACAGAGAAGCTTGTCTTCTCCACATTTGCAATGAAAGCAAACAACAGCAACCTTTCACTGGTATGGCTGGGCTCCATCCTTATCTCCTGCTGCCATAAATAAAGCTTCAGAGTGGACATCTTCACACAAAAGCATTAACAAAGATGGCTTGGTAAAGTGATGGGAGTGAGAGTAGCTTGAGGAATGCTTGCGTGTTGCTGGTGTGTTTGGAGGTGACCATGCTTCCCCAGCAAAGGGAGAATGAACAGTCACAGCCTTTACAGTATAGGGCATGGATAGCTGGTAAAGTCTTCCTTACATGGGGAAGTCTGAACAGGCCTAATGAGTAACACTCTAGTAGCAGAGACAGCAGTAAGAAAGCAGACAGACCAGAGAGGCTTTCTTCAAGCACAGAAATGGGTAATCTGGGAAAGATGGGTATTTCCCAAGGAATCAGGATTTGCATAACCAAGTGAGAGAGCCTGGTGCATACTCCCAGTCAAGCAGAGACTTGGCTTTGTAAGCCCTCAGAGAACATCATACAATGCAACTTCTGTCCAGGGGACTGGAAGCTGTCCACGTTCATTGGACCTGAGCTAATAAGCCCTGTCTTGTGCAAAACCAGATCAAGTACTTTCGCCCTACTTAGGCAGACATGCCTCAACTCCCTAGCGATTCAGCTCTACCCATTCCTTTAGTGGTCATACATGCCCCTGCCCCTGGTAAGCACCTGATGGAAAACACGCAGTGGAACAGATAGTTTCCGATCTCACCAGCACAACTGAGGTTTTTTAGCAGAGAGAGGAAGTAATCACTGAAAACAGACTGAGAAAGAAATAAATACCTGTGCATGAACACAGGGAGTGGCAAGGGTCACTGAGCTGAAGAAGCTGAAGCAGTTACAGGAAGGAGAGGCACTGCTTTTGCAAAAGACGCATTTCTGGAGAGTGGGGACATAATGACAGTGAGTACAGGGACTGCACAGTGCCACAGTCTTTTCCTGTAATCATTCCTATCAGCCTCACTGGGGATAGGAGGGGAGGTGGAGAGGGGCAGTGGAGAAGGCTGTCTCCTAACATCCTCCATAGGATGATTCTGAGCAGCTGACAGTGACCCTCATCTGTCCCTTCTCCCCTTTGCTTCTTTGCCTGCTGGGAACTTCTAATGTGTTTACTGAAACTGGAAGCGCACTATAACATCAGTCATAAATCCTTCCTCTCCTTTCAAGTCCAAATATTGCCAAAGTGACAGCACTGATTGGATGTCAATCACTGAGGTACCTGCAAGGAAATGGAAGATCCTCAAAGAGTAACAAAACCATTACCATTTCCCAGGTATCGCTGATCACCAAGAGATGAGCTTCCCGTGCCCGACAGGATTCCCGGCTGGAATGCCAGTCTTTCTTCTCCTTGGAGAAGGAGTAGCAGCTCCCTCTGTAGGCCACCCACTGCTCAGGGCAGTGTAGGTGGGAGCTGCCTGTAAAGGAATCAGAACAGCTTTTCTCTACCATTAAGCAACAGAAAGACACTTGTCAGCAAGGACCTGCTGAAAAGCAACTCTCCTGGATAGTTGCAATGCAGAAAACACAAGTCAGGATAAGCATCTAAAAATAGCAATGCATGAACACTGCACTTCATATCCTCTGTGTAATTTCCAATCTTCGTACAAGAGTCACACGCACTCTGATGCTGATGCAACACCCCACCACAACCCCTGGGTTTCCTCTGAACTACTCAGATACCTGAGAACCAAAACTGGCTATGAGAAAGAAAATGACACTCTGGGTGTGGAAAAGGGGATTGCCTGATTGGCAGCCAACCACAATGCAGCAGCTCTCTCTCCCTTCCCCTCCGGCAATGAGAAGGGACAGAGAGCCAGGCTTGGGGTTAAAGATAGGACTGGGATGGGGAAAAATCCCCCTTTTATGATCATGAGCAAAAGGCAGACTCGTTAGGGGAAGAAAAAAAGAACATACATTTATTACAGACACTAACATAACAGAGTAGAACAGTGAGAAGCATTGCCACACCTTGAGAACACCTTCCCCCCACCCCTCCCTTCTTCCCGGGCTCAGCTCTGCTCCTGATATCTCTACCTCCTCCCCCAGCGGCGCAGGGGCAGGGAATGGGGGGTGCAGTCAGCTCTGCCACTTCCTTCATCTTCGGTGAGGGGAGTGTCAGAAACTTGTTCCTCCTGCTCCATCGTGGTCCCCCTCTCACAGGAGACAGTCCTCCACAAACTTTCTCCGACTTGAATTCCTCCCACGGGCCGCAGCGTTCCCCACACTGTTCCGTCATGGGTCACTAACTTCCTCTGACTGGATTCCCTCCCACAGCTGCAGCCCTTCCCGAGCTGCTCCGGCGTGGGACTCCCCCCATGCTGCAATCCTCCCAGCACTGAATTACAGCAGCGGGGCTGCCTTTTCCCATGAGACCCCGGCCTTCTTCGGGCACAGAACTTTGATTAGCCGAGCAGGAGCCACAGGCCATAAATCAATGTCTGCTCCACCGTAGATCTCCATGGCTGGCAGGGGGGGGGCCGCCCTGCCGTCTCCCCACAGGGTACAGGGGGGTCTCTGCTCCGGCACACCTCCCCCCTCCTTTCTTCCTCCGTTCCCCCACTGACCTTGGTGTTCATGCAGCTGCAGGGACTCCTCCTCACAAGTCCCCCTGCACGTCACCACATCCCTTCTTAAATACGTTATCACAGGGGCGCAGCTGATTGGCTCAATTTCCCAAACAGAAGTGGAGCTAACGTGGAGCTGGGGGAGCTTCGAGAAGCTTCTCACAGGGGGCCGCCCCGATAGCCCCCTCCCCTGCCACCAAAAAACTCCACCACTCACTCAACCCAGGACAAAACTACATCATTCTGTGGGTACGCTGTGATCGTGCCACACATCAGATGAACAGATTTTAAGTAGCAAACAATAGGCTCTCCCACATGGTCTAGCACCCTCTGCATGCATGCAAAAGTGTTATAGACCTTGCATATTTGTTCTACACCTTACCACTATAATGACAACAGACCAGTCTTACAAAAACCTTTCAATAATATGTTTCACTGTTCTTTGCCACAGGATCTGAAATGGGATGCCCGGGGTCTGCACAAGGAATGTATTCTTAAAAATATTCTGGACAGGCAGTGGGTACTTACGGCTGGTAGAAACCTAGAATAACTTCTGGTTTAACCCCATATAATGGAGTTCAGGATCTGAGGTCCTGGGCTTAGATGAGTCTCCAGCCCTTTGCTGTTGATTGCTCATCCCCAGCACCCCTTTGTGCACTTACTCATCTTCCAAATCAAAGCCACTGCTAGGGAGATGCTCAGTATCCCAAAGCCTGTAGCCAAGCCCGGCACAACTCCTGGCCACAGACAGGGAGTTGTAAAAGAGAAAAGAAACCATAGTGAACAGGAGCCACATGAAAACTGATGGTGGTTTTACATAGTTTGCTTCTATTCTGGGCATGTCCATCAGGAACTGAACTATTTAAGCATCCCTGTCTGTCTACACTCTGCACATCGCTGCCATCACTGTCCCTGGGGCCTCCCCATGCCCCTGCCCACCAGCCCCAGTTCAGCTGGGCTCGGCACCATCAGTCCCTGCCAGAGCTTCTCAGGAGATGTATGTGTCACCATGTCAGCCACAGCTCTGCCCCTGCCTGGCCACAGATCTGGCTGATCCAGCCTCTGCAGTTCCTGACCCCAGGAGAGAAGCACGCACCCCAAGTCAGACGGAGCCCCCCAGGCACCATGTGGCACCTTGTGCTGGCAGGAGCCTCCCAGCAAACCCACTCCTGCCTCAGCATCAAAACTCAGGGTAGAAACAGAGCTGCATTGCCACAGCCACCATGTTTCATCTTAAATGCAAAAAGAAACCCAAGGCCTTTCCTCCAGCTCTCTCAGCAACAGGTTTAACCTCAGCATCCTGTTCACAGGCTTAGACATATGGTCACGTTACATTTTCCCGGGATGCTCCCAAGTCAGTCCTGTGCTCTCATCTGCCTCTCCCATGGCAGGATGCGAGGGCCAGCCTTGAAGACCTTGGGATGCCCCTCCACATTTTCACCACCATCATCCGTTGTTCACTGGCTCCCAGTAGCAGAGGGAGGGTCCTCGGGGCAGCCTCCACCATAGCCCAGCACAGCTTCCTTTAAAGGGCAAGGCAGTAGAGATCTGTTCATGTACAGCGTGTTAACCTCCAGGCTACACCTTGCTTTCCTGGTGTCATCTCCTGGAGCTGTGTTTGAGCCAAGAGGCATTCACTTTCCATAAGCTGTTTGAAATCTCAGCATTAAAATCTCCTCTCTCTCAGGTTGAGGAAAGGATGACACTTGCAGCAGTAAATTCCAGATGAGCTCCAGGGAGGGTTGGTTTGCTCATTTGATGAATCTCAGTATGACAGCTGCACAGACAACATGACTTTCTAAGAAGCACTAAATGTGTAGCTAATGGTTACTGACATTGAGGAACTCAGGATTTCCCTGTGCTTCTCCCTTAAGGTTATGTACCACATCCTGCTCTTGTGCTGCTCCAGAGTCTTTTATGCAAATCCAGCAGCAAAGTCCCCAGTGGAGTTCATGAAATATGAGGTGCTTCTCTCTTGGTGATGTCACAAGACCCAAAGAAATATAGTTGTACTCCCCCAAAAGGCTAGGAGTCTACGGAATAAGATGGAGGAAGGGGAAGGCTAGCTTTCACCAAAGACATCATTACAGCAAGCATTTGAAAACTTGGTGGAAGAAGAGCTGTGAGCAGGACGTCATAGCAAGAGGATGCAAAATACACAGGGGAGACAGATGAGGCTGTTCTCTCCTCAAATAAAATTACAGTTAAATTAGGTTAAATAACTAACTGCATCAAAAAGTAACAGTAACAGCATCCCCACAGACCAGACAAATACTACTAAATGCATAAGGTTGGAATTATATTAGGGACTGCCAGTCAAGGATGGTGACAGCACTCATGAACCAGCAAAAAAACAAAAAAAAAAAAAAACAAAAAAACAAAAAACAGAGCAACTATGAGGGAAGTATGATGATAAGTGTCAATTACTCATACTAAATTATGCAAATGACATGTCAGGGCATGATGCTGAGACTGAATACACCACCAACAGGAATTTCACAGATCGGAGAGCCAGGAAAGACAGAAATTGAAGCAGCTCGTGACTGCCCTGAGCTGTGCTCAGGCCACCCAGCTCACCGCTCGCTCCATCCAGCAGCTGCTCTGCTGCAGTGAATACAGACACACTGAAATTCAACGGAGCCAAAAACTACCACCAACAAAAGGCACTGTGGTATAATAATTTCAAAATGGGAAACTACATGAAAATGAGGAAGTTTTTCAGAGAGAAATTAAAAGGGATGGCTAAGAGATTAAATTTTTGTAAGCAGTAGGGGAGGCTTTTTTTAGGATCTCTCAGTGGAGGCTAAAAACAAATGCACATCATGTATCAAGAATATTGTGGAAAGGACAAAGAAAGCCAGCGCTAAAACAGAAGGGGAAGGGACTTCACTCAAAACCAAGAATGCATCCTTTAAGCACTGGAAGCTTTGTCCAAATACAGAAAGTAGACCAAATCAATAAATTAATAAAAATTAATTTATGTTTATCTTAGAGCAGTTTGCAGGCTCACCAGTTTTAAGATCAGTTTCTGGTTGATAGCCAATATGTTTAGACATGTGGTTTTGCCTAAAAGATGTTTCTAAGGTAACGACCGAAAGAGTGAGGGAGCTTTGCTGTAAGCATCATTCTTCTGGTAGAAAGATCTTTCCTAAGGTAAAGGTTTTGTTGTGTTTCCTGAAGCTTGCAGGATCTTCTAGCTGTAAGAAACTATGAACTAAGGGTATTGTTTATTGAAATTTATGTTAAGCTCAATGTAAAGGTTAGGCGGCAAAAGACAGAAAAACTGCTTATGCAAATAGCTGCCAGACACCGCTTGTGTGAGACAAGATAACCTGTGAGACAAGATGACCGCGTGAGACAAGATAACCGCAATTGCTTACACAAACCAGATACTTGTGCAAGCAGAAGGGGTACTGATCAAAGACAACCACGAATGTAAAAATGTATAAAAAGGAACTGTTTGAACTGATCAGTACGGCAGTTGGCGGAGCGCAGACTCCCCTGTCGTCCAGCGCTGTCTTTGCTCATATTCTACTTGCTATAATTAATAAAATTATAATTGGATTATGATCCATTGTGGTCTCAATTTATAACAATTTCATGGTGCCGTGACTCGGATAAGGAACGGTGGGCTTCTGTCCTCCGGGGAGGCGCCCCGCGGCAATCCGCGGCCCCGCGACTGATAGCCCACCCCATCCTTACCGACGAACCTAAATTCTAGAATAATGAGCAAAGGAGAAACCGGTAAAATCCCATAAAAATTCTGTGCACGGGAGTCCGGACGAAGACGCAGGATGCGTAAGTATATTGCGAATTTGTTCGCGGGTTTACCGTTCGGGCGGGATTGGGTTTCCTGGATTATAACGAATGAGAGGTTCGATATACTGAACCAAGCGAGTGCGGACCCTTAAGTACTGCGTTTCCCATTACCCGCGAGGGACTGGGCCAGGAACAAGGGGAGCAAGTGAGTGTGTGTTTGTGGATAATCCAGAAGATGGGGGCGAAGGGCAGCAAGCCTTCGACTCCCATGGGAAGGGTACCCACTGTACCTAAGAATACCCCTCTGGCATATATCTTAGACAATTGGAGATATTTCCCTGGAACACTAGGGAAAGATAAGCAGAAAATGATAGAATATTGTACTAAGATATGGGGAGGGAAGAAGATTTCTAAAAATGTCTTTTGGCCAGTCTGCGGGTCAGAAGAAGATTGGATAAGGCAACAATTAAATCTCTGGGTTAATAATAAAAAACCCCTTAACCCGGAAGAAAGTCAGTATGCGGGAGTGTGGCTAAAAAGACTGGGAGCTAGACTTTACCCGCTGAATGAAATAAACTAAACAAAAGAAAAAGAAGGAAGGGTTAGACGAAACCCTTCTAACCCCCCCTCCTTACATTTCCCCTCCTGCTCCCACAGCCCCTCCAGAGGTCCCCAGAGCGCCCACTCCCCCACCGGAGTCGGAACAAGAGTCTCCCCCTCCTCCTAGACGTGTAACTAGAAGCCAAAAAGGGGCAGCTCAGATGTACCCCCTAAGGGAAATACCCATGGGGGGACCTCAACCCGTGATCGGATATATTTCCGTACCCCTAAACTCGGCTGACCTATGAGATTTTAAAAGAACCGAGATGGGAAACTTAATTGAGGACCCACTCAGAGTGGCAGAAAGATTAAATCAATTTTTTGGACCAAACCTTTATACTTGGGATGAGATGCAATCTATCCTTGGTCAATTATTTACTACCGAGGAAAGAGATATGATTAGACGAGCAGGAATGAGACTGTGGGATGCTCAACATGCCCAGGGACCTCAAGCGGATATTAAATGGCCACTCCAAAGACCTAATAGAGATAATCAGGATCCGGTGCATAGAACTCATATGCAGGACCTGAGAACTATAGTAATTCAGGGAATTAGAGAAGCAGTACCCTGTGGCCAGAATATTAATAAAGCATTTAATGAAATGCAAAAGAAAGATGAGAGCCCTACTGAGTGGCTGGAACGACTGAGGAAAGCCCTTCAGCTGTATTCTGGGGTAAATCCAGACGACCCTTTAGGGCAAGCACTCCTCAAAACTCAGTTTGTGGCAAAATCATGGGAAGATATCAGAAAGAAGATTGAAAAGTTAGAAGACTGGCAGAATAGAGGGTTGGATGAATTATTGAGAGAAGCTCAGAAAGTCTATGTAAGGTGAGAGAAAGAGAGCAGCAAGCGACAAGTAAAAATGATGGTAGCAGCGGTCAGAGAGGATCGTAAAGGACGAACTGGTAAACACAGATCTGCTGGAACGAAACAAGGGAACGTAGTAGTAAAGAAGGAACAGAGATGTTGTTTTTACTGTGGAAAGAAGGGACATATAAAGAAGAATTGCAGAGAAAGGATCAGGGATGAGGAAATATTGAAAACGGAATAGGAGAGCCAGGGGCTCTATATCTTAGGGGACCGGAGTCATCATGAGCCCTTGATAAAATTAAAAATAGGTCCCCATAAACAAGAGTTCACCTTTTTAGTAGACACTGGGGCTGAAAAATCGACTATTAAACAAATACCTGAGGGATGTAAAATTTCCCCGGAAAAAGTACAAGTAATTGGGGCAAAAGGAGAACCATTTAAAGTAAACAAAATCAAAAATGTGGTATTCGAAACTGAAAATAAATTTGGAATGGGTGAACTCTTGCTCGTCCCTGAAGCAGAATTTAATCTGCTAGGACGAGATTAATTGTTGAATTACAATTAGAAATTAAAGTGAAAAATCAA